TTTCCCAAGTTTTTCCTTTGGCATGGGGTTGGGGTAGGGGTGGAATGCAGGACTGTCTGAGGAGGCCTTAGTTGGAGGAACAAAGGGTTTTGGGACTGCTACTGGGGTGCCTGTGAACCACAGGCTGCATTCCTAAGCTTTTCCATTTGCCATGGGGGGGGTAGGTGTGGAATGGAGGAATGTCTTAGGTGGGCTTATTTGGAGGAACACAGAAGTTGGGACAGGTACTGGGGTGCGGTTGACCTACAAGCTGCTTTCACAGACTTTTCCTTTGGCCATGGGACGGGGGTAGGTGAGGAATGTAGGAGAGGCTGAGGTGGGCTCATTTCAATGCATAATACCCAGAAACAGAGAGCTATCCAGATGAATGTCAAATGATGTATGGATAACGAAAATGTGTCAATTCACACAATAGAATATTGTTCATCTGTTAGGTAAAACGAAATTATGAAATTCACAGGTAAATGGATAGAGGTAGATAAATTCATCCTGAATGAAGTAACAAAGACCCCAAAATAGAATATTGCTTTTTGTTAATATGTGCATATTATCTTCTATGTCTTTGGTATGTGTACTAAAATCTGAATAACCATAATAGTTAGAACTTAATAAGGTACCAGGGAGAAGGAGAGGATCTTCCATGGAAGAGGAAATAGAATATGGTTTTATTGAGGGATAAAGAAGGAACTAGAATATTAGGATTAAATAGGGACAGGGAAGAGAGTGCAGGGAAAGGAAGAGACACTAAAGATCATTGGAAAAAAAAACGTGGAAATGTATTACTCTAGAAGTTTCCTATATTAGAAGAATATATGAAAGTAATCCAAATAGAGTCACTAGACATTAAGGATGAGAGTGCTCCAAGTATACAATTATGCAATCAAAGAAAATTTTCAGTACCAGGGATACATAACATATTGCTGAGTTGTTGGCCAAAAGAGTCCCATAGTCTTGCCTAGACATCACAGGCTGCTGTATTCCACAACCTTATGGTAAGGGCTTATGGCTGAAGAAAACACTAAAATTTCATTGATCCCAGAGAAATTAACTTGGAACCTAGCTAGAAGGTTCACTTTTACTGACTTTAAGGTGTTTACTCCTTTTTCATACTATGAAACACCTTGGTCTTATGTTACATATTTCACAATTCAACTCTTAAAATCAGTGTTTAATTTAAGAATGCTTAGATACTATAATTGCTTTGGTGGATTTTGACTGCTAGAATTGATATTTGTAGGCTCTCTTGGTTTACTTGAATCACATATTTTCCTGAGTATCTCAGGCAGTAATGAACAATTGAAAACATGTGATTCAAGTCAAGATTTAAATACTATGAGTGTCTAGGATCTATTATATAATTCTTTCCTTTCTATTTTCACAACACACACACACACACACACACACACACACACATATGTAGAGACAGAGAGAGTGTGTGTAAACAAGCACAGAGAACATAATCTAGCTTCACAATAAATTGAAAAGTAAAAGATTTAGGCCTAAAATGACACTAAAAATTTTACAGGGGGCTGGACAATGGGTGAGTGGTTACTAACACTGACTGTTCTTCCAGAGGACCCAGGTTTGATTCCCAGAACATGCAGGTAGCTCATAACTGCCTGTAATTCCTGGGCAAGGGGATCTGATTGCCTGTTTTCAACACCATGGACACAGCACACATCTGGCACACAGACATACTGGCAAAAGATATATACAGTTTTCAAATTTTAAAATAGTGAAATAATATCGACCTTTATGGTTGCTTTTTATCTTAAATTTACAGCACTCATTTGACATGTTATATCACTGAGCTTCTTTATTTAGGGCCAGGTGTATATTTCCTTTACATGTAAGATGGTTCACAAACACAGTACCATGGCTTCGGCACTGTGGGAGATGGGAACATCACTGGCCTCTGAGAGCAAGAGGGTGTTGGCCTAAGTGTACACTGAGAAGGAAAAGGAAGGTGATTTTAGTCTCCTTGTGAGGCATGAAGGGACAGAGTCAGGTCCCCTTCTTCTGCTTCCCCAGCCAGGAAGCCACTTTGGTGAAATAGGTGACATTATTTCATTCATTGTATGTGGTAAAGGGATTGGCCTGGTCCCAACCATTATAGCTAGGTGTAAAAGGTATAGGAAGGTACAGTGTGGATTAGCAAACAAGATGGGGCAGGTGACATCAGAAGCATGTGACTGTTGGGAGCAGTTCCTAAGATTCTAAGCACACTAGTCCTGGCCTAACGGGGGTAGGTGAGATACTGGTGTTTAATGTTTGGCATTGATGATGTCTACAAACTCAGGCTTGACCCACAAGGAAGCCATCCACATCAGGCTGGCTTGCCAGCTCTTTGCAGGTTGCCCCAGACAAAGAACCTCCATAAATGATTCGGGTGCTTTGAGCCACTGCATCAGAGACATTGGATTTCAGCCATCCCCACAGCTTCTCTGTGCTTCCTGGGCTTGCTGATGTGTCTTGCCAGTACCAATGGCCCATACAGGTTCATAGGCCAGGACAACTTTGTTCCAGTCCTTCACATTATCTGCGATGACCTTGGTTTGCTCAAAAACAACCTTCTAGGTGATACCAGCTCCCCTTTCATCTAGCTTCTCCCCAATGCAGGCAATCACTCCAAGGCCCTTGGCTAGGGCATGGGCCACTTTCTGTCCAATCAACTCATTGGACTCCCCAAAGAGGTGCCTTCTCTCCGAGTGTGCCCCATCACTGCCCATGAGGCTCCTAAGTTTTTGAACATGCCAGGGCTGATCTCCCCACTGAAGGCCCCATTGGTCACTTTGTAGCAGTTTTGTGCATCACTGAGCTCTTTTTTAAGTTTCAAAAATATAGAGATGTAAACTTTCTACAAGTTTTTACTGTGTTCACTCAAAGTTCAAGATATTGAGTCATGGTAATTGTTCCCATGTCATTGTACCTAAGTGTTATTTTCTGTATACAAAACAATATATAATTCCAAAGCCATAACGTAGAAGGATTAAAAAATGTATCCACTTCATTTTCACATTTTGAAAAATGTGTTATATGCAAAAATTAGTATTCTGGGTATGGAAAGTGTAATGTTGTGTGTGTGTGTATTTGTGTGCAAAAAGAGCCTTTATATTATATTTAATGTTTTAAATACAAAATAAACAGCAGATTTTAAGGAGATAATGAACATATGCTTATTTAAAATTGTGGAGATAATGAGCATATGCTTATTTAAAATTGTATTACAGAATAAAATTATATCGTGACTTCATGAATTTTCAAAAGGATTTTCTTCCA